TCGACGTCACTCCCCCTGTTCCGACATTGTTAAACAAACAAAAGAAGCTTAATCTATGGCATTAAAAAGGGTTTGAGTTAAAAAGATCAAAACTTGCCAGAAACCCCGATGTCGTAACCGAACATAAGGCCACCGGTGGCAGCCATTAAACAGGAAATGATAACCACCGGAGTAATCTTGGTCTCGAACTCGACGCTGGATGTAGCCACCGGGAACCCTGCCATAGGCATCCTGTTCTTGATTATGTCTCGGATGAAGCTTCAAAGAAATCAATGGCGGATGGAGATTGCTGTTCTTCATTTGATTGATTGTGGATTTTTATAGACCAACACAGCGACCAAATCTGGGAATTCAATGGAAAAATTCCAGCTCTGCATGAACTAAATTTGAGGGGTAAATAGGCTAAGAATGGAGTGGAAAACTGTTCCAATAGACGGATGAAACTATCATCGAATTTTGAACTATTTTAGTTTTGCACACCAAACAATATTTATTTCATCATTGGTTATTAATTTTTTGAACACGGAATCAAAAGTTAGCTAACGTTGAGTTGGTCGAAAATCGAAATAGGATTAACCCGTTAAAATGTATTACTGATTAAATAATATATCGATATATCATACGCGACTAAAATGCATTTTTAGTTCCTAAGTAACAAAAATATCCTTAACCTAAACTATACATGCCTAACTCACCTTGGAGCGCTCACAAAGTTGATCCCGGTTTATTTCTAAATTGTTTAAGGCGGTTGCACATATAAATTTAAGTTTTACTCGAAATGAAAACTAACTGACATATGATATATTGATGATATACTCCAAATACTACTAAAATGATACATGTTAACTTTGATTTGATGTAGGTGTGAGATCCAACCTCGGCTGGAGAGGAGAACGATTCCTTACAGGGGTGTGGAAACCTCTCCCTAGCGAAACTTTTGAAAGAGTTCGTATAAAGTCGAGAGCTTTTGTTAAAATCCTTGTTTTACATCTAACTTTTGGAAGAGTTTGTAGAAAGTCATGGATACTCGGTTTGATTTCTATAAAACTTTTTATGGATGAGCAAATGGTGAGACAACAAAATTGAATCTAATTTTGGAGGGCATGTGGTGGATCTAATAGCCCAAGCTTACCGCTAACAGATATTGTGCTCTTTGATCCCCCAAGCCTACAGCTAACAGATATTGTGCGCTTTGATCCGTTACCTATAACCCTCTGCCTTACGATTGTAAAAGACATCTGTTATGGAGAGGCTTTCACTCTCTGAATACGTAGTTCCTCTATCCAATCAATGTGGGATCGTTCGTACTCTTATAACGAATACTTAATGTGGGATCCTCCACACCCTTATAAGGAATATTTAGTTCCTCTATACAACCGATGTGAGATCCTTTCTCTTAGAGGCCTGGAAAGGTTTCCACACCCTTGGAGTACTTTGTTCCTCTCTTCAAATGATGTGAGAACCCACAACCCACAGATATGTGATCTCACAATCCACGCCCCTTTTGGCACACCGCTCGATGTCAAGCTCTAACACCATTTGTAATAGTCCAAACCCAGTACAATAGACATTGTCCGCTTTGGTCTGTTCGTATTGTCATCAACCTTACGGTTTTAAAACACGTCTATCACAGAGAGATTTGCACACTCTCGTAAGGAATAGTTCATCCTCTCTTCAACCAACAAAGGATCTCACTGAACATACTAGACAAAAAAGCTAAGTGAATGGTACAATAATTTCTTTTTCAAATAAATTTTTTTTGACACTTAGACACAAAATTAAAAATGAGCCTACAAATATGAGTAGGAACACAACAACATAGTGCTACAACAAAAAGACAATTACTATCCTCTGTTTATGAACGCCTATACTGAATCCTTAATCTCCTCAGCCCCATCGCTGATAAACCTCTTCCAAAACCAATGTTGCTTCCACACTTTCTCTGTCATTTCCTCAATCGGAACACCCTTTGTCTCCGGCAGCAAGAACATCACGAACAGCGACATCACCAACACCCAACCAGAAAAGAACAAGAAGATCCCATACTTCAAATGGCACAACATGGACAGAAAAGACTGCGCGATCACAAAAGTAAATATCATATTCACACAAACCGTCACGCTCTGCCCAGCCGATCGTGTCTCCAATGGAAAAGTCTCGCTGGGAATCAACCATCCAAGCGGCCCCCAAGACCACGCGAAAGAAGACACGAAACTGCACACCATTAGCACCACCACGATCGCCATTCCATGCGAGAGGTAGTTGGCGTTGTCTTGAAGTTTAAGCCCCAGCACCACTCCGACAATCGTTTGAGACACCAACATTTGAAACCCAGCTTCTAATAACAACATTCTTCGCCCCACTTTGTCCACTGAATAAATGGACACCAACGTAGACAGGACATTGACGGCCCCTGTTATAACAGAGGAATACAGAGACGCATCGTTGCCGAACCCCAACGTGTTGAACAGAACTGGAGCATAGAACATTATGGCGTTGATTCCGGTGAGTTGCTGGAAAATCTGCATCATTATGGCAATCACCAACGGCGGGCGATTCTGGCGCATGAACAGGTTCCTGAAGGGATGCTTCACTTCCTGAGAAATGCGGCTTGCCTCCACGATTTCCAAGTACTCTGCTTCAACGTTGTCCGTCCCTCTTATTTTTTTCAGCACTGATTTCCCTTTTTCCAAATACCCACGTTCGATCAAACTATTTGGAGTATCATCCACCATAATTGCTCCAGATGTCAGCAACACCGCCGGGACGCCGGCCAGTGCCAATGATAGCCGCCATCCCCATCCCCCTTCAATCCTGTACCAAAAACAGATTTTTTATTAAATTTGAAATCTTTGGAGCAGAGGGTTTGTTTGAATCTCTGTTTTGTTCTTACTTGGATGTTCCATAATTGATGAGGTTTGCTAATAGAATGCCGACAGTGACATCAAATTGGAACAGTATATTCAAAGCTCCACGAATCCTCGTCGGCGCTATCTCCGACAGAAACAACGGCACGGCCTGTTTTTCCAACATCAAAAACAACAAACTCCGTTTCAAATCTGTAACAACAAATGGAGGCTTGCCGGAGTTGTTAAACAAACCTGGTTGGCAAATCCAACTCCACAGCCCAGAGCAATTCTTCCAAGAATAAGCATGAGAAGGCTAACGGCGGAGGCATTTAAAACAGTGCCGACAATGAAGAAAATCCCGGCGATAAGCATGGTCTTTCTCCGACCGAGAACTCTGGTCGTGTAAGAAGCGAAAAACGTGGCTGTTAACGCAGCGAGATAGAGAGAAGAGGTGAAGAGCTGTAATCCTTGATTGTCGTATTTACAGTAGTTGCTGTCGCCCCCTTTGTGTACTTGGGTCCTGTCGTACACTGTCGGAAAGAACTCCTTCAAGAACGAAGGCATCGACGTCACTCCCCCTGTTCCGACATTGTTAAACAAACAAAAGAAGCTTAACCAATCTACGTTCCCTTTGGCATAAAAATTAGTTTCAGTGAAGAAATTCATCACTAACCCGAAACCCCAATGTCGTAACCGAACATAAGGCCGCCGGTGGCGGCCATTAAACATGAAACGATAACCACCGGAGTGATCTTGGCTTCGAACTCGACGGCGGCCGGAGCCACTGCGAGTGCTGCTGCAGGCATGGTTGTATGAAATCAATGGCGGATGGAGATTGAGGGTATTGTTGAAATGTGTGGAATTTGAATATTTATAATGACAAAAGTGTTGCAGAGATTATAAAGATCCAATTTTTAAGTCAATTTTGTTGATGTTTATCAGTTGGGTCTGATGGGATAAATTCTTTGATTGGAAAACGAGGCGACATTTAGGGATAATTAAGTGAATGAATGCTTGGGAAAGATGACATGGAAAAGCTTTATCCAAATCCATACTTCAACGCTGAATGCAACGTTCCAATGTTCAATCTTAACCATATAGGTTGAAAGCTAAAGAGGCATCGTTTTTTTTTTTTCATCCAAAGAGGAAAAAAAATATATTCTTTTACCATTAAAAATGTTTTTTCTTTTTTTTTTTCCTCTCTCAAACCTATCTTCTGGAACGTCTTCGTTTTCATTTTTGTGTTTGAAGCAAACTCACACACCTTGACCCCTATAGCTTTGCATGTCATGCACACCTTTGCTTTAAAACTCCGTCTACCCTTCATTTGAGAAATATTGAAGTAGCATTGATGAGTATAAAAATACTCCTACAGTCGTTTACTGGCTCATCTTTCTCATCAAATTCATACTCGAGGTTCAATTTTGTTGAACTCTCCTTTCTCATTGGGTTTGTTCTCGAGGTCTAGAGGTTCTATGGTATCTTTGATTAGATTATTCTACTAGTTTTATTCATCATCANTTTTTTTTTTATCATAACATTCTATTTAAAAGTAGTAGATAAAATGACGAATTTGTGAGCGATATGTATTGAAAATCAGAGAAAGTAAAACTATCTTACCTACTAAGCCATTCTCGTACATTGGATGCCAACATATCATGATAACGTTATGAGCTGCCTCTCTTCTCACATGTTGAATGCTTTACTCGAAAACGATAACAAATGACCCTTTCACATTTATTTAAATCATTTAAGTACTTCTTTTTAATTTGACTTTGTTCAAAAAAAAAAGATTTCTTTTTCCTCTTTTAAGTTATTCCAAATCTAGGGCTGATCAAGGAACTCCCTGTAAAAAGTGGGGATGGATTGAGATTAAAATGGTGCATTTGGATAAAGATTTTCATTTCCACGTCATGCCAACATATTTAATATTATTCCTTAAGATTTTCGTTACTCTACCATTGACACTTTTTTCTCACGAGTATCCTATCTGATAGATATTGTCTGTTTTGACTCACACAATTTTAAAACACGTCAATTAGGGAAAGGTTTTCACACTCTTATCCTGAATGCTCCAATGTCACACTTTTCTTTCTTTTTCCTTTTCCTTTTGGAGAGGATTTGAAGGTACCATTTTTTTTTTTCATAAGAAACACAACCAATTTTCTTCTTCATAGTTTCTGTGGTAACAACCACAAGCATGCTATACATAAAATTGATAAAGTCGGAAGGCTTAAGGAGGCGAGTATTGGCAGACGAGTAAAACCACAATCATGCTTGCTTATTTTACTCAAGAACTGAAGATTTAAAATAATAGAATCAATAGCATAACTTATTCGAATACGTAACACGGTAATGATTTCCATCGTCCTCTCTCTTGGGTGGAACAAACGGAGACTTGGAAAATGGTAATGTTCTTGGAGAAGCCATCAATGGGTTAACACTGATGCTATGTTACAGCAATCAGAGCACCATGTAATGAACAGAATCTACTTGGGTGGTGGTTTCCATGGTGTGATCAATTCGAAGGGGCTCGGATTTTTCGTTTTCATTTTCGAGATCTTAAGAGATTTAACTTTGCTATACACCTAGGAGAAGATAAGGATGGAGAGTGACTAACAGTTTTTCAGTTTGCTACCTCTTCTAGGAGGATGGATCTGATGAAGCAAGCTCGGCGTACATATTGGATATTATGTTGGCAAAGTATTCCTTCGCTTGGGGTCTCTTAATCTGCGGAGGAAAAAGAAATTCAGATAATTTAATCCATTCAACTACTCCCAAGATAATATCTACATTCACCACTTGCCTTGAATGTAGGAGTGAGAAGACCATTCTCCAACGTGAAAGGCTCATGGACCAAAGTGACAGCTTTCGCGAATTCGAAACCTCTCAACTGAAATTAAAGAGGGAGATTGTGTTTTACAATCACGAGAAAGAGCAAAATGGCATGATTGAATCAATGATTTACAAGATAATTGTTGGTTTGCTTGCCTGTGCCTCTCTTCCAACGGCATCCATGTCCGCCAAGACTGCGGCCCTTGCTCTTGGGTCATTGCAGAGTTGGGCTATATCATTGTACTGCACGTTAAATTGTTTGACGAACACTGGTTAGAAAGATGAGGAAAATGAAGCTCTTACACTATTGACTTGATCCATGCATAAGTTAGTTCATCAAATGTAAAATCCTGTATGGCCAAAATACGTGCTCAAAGGCAATAACTTCTGAAACCGTCCAACTTTTTGAGAGTTCTTGGAAATTTCAAAGACGAGAGAGGAAGAAAGGTGGTTGATGACGAGGGACGAATCAAGCTCCCTTCTTGTCAAGCCATTGAGGAAGAAGTTTGAGGTGACAGTTCATGATGGGTTTGTTTATCACTTCCCAGTTTCGTTAGAGGTTATAAATTTCTCATTTGACTACAAAGAGAAATCAAGTGCTCATGTGCAACTCAAGTTTGGAATGAAGCCCAATCTTTAATATTCCCAAGACTAGACACAAACCAACATACCTTAATGCCTTCGGAAGAAGCCCATGATTTCAACGTCTCCAAATCAACTGAGACTACAGCTACCAAAGATGAATTGAAGCTATCACCTTAAGGAAGAAGCAAAGAGAATCAGTAACCAAGTGGCTCTACATCATGGTAGCATGTATAAGAACCAGGGATATAGCATGTGAAGGTACAAAATGGAGAAGAAATTTTAGAATCCCATTTCTCACCGTAAACAAAGCATTGGGTAACAAACTTGCACTTCGCATACACATTCTCAATTTTCTCTGGTGCAATATACTCCCCCTGTGCCAACTTAAAGATGTTCTTCTTCCTATGGAGAAGTAGATTTATTATGGAGATTTACTTTTAATAACAAAAGAAGGGATTCCTTCGGTTACAAAGATGTATAGGATTTACTTAAGCTTAAGACCGTTCTCAGGAGATTTATTATGGCAATCTTTTAGCCAAAAAGTTTGTTCATATTTTAAGTCAAAAGACAACAAAGAGAAGCAACGAGGTAGAGGTCACCTGTCAATAATTTTTAAACGACCACCAGGCAACCAAAGTCCAATATCTCCAGTGTGGAGCCATCCATCTTCATCAACAGTTTCTCTCCTGTCCAATTCAAATATTCATTTAAATTAAAAAGTACTCGATCAATTAAATCCATTCAAAGAGGTGAGCAAAGAATATTTTTACGTCTGCACTTCATCTTTGAAATAGCCTTTGAAAACAAGGGGACCCCTGATACAGATCTCACCGCGAGAATAAGGCTGATCATCGGATGTGTAATTCATCTCTGGAACATCCACGAGCTTTATTTCTAAAACAGAAATGAAGGAAAATCTTAACCAAGATTGGGAATTATGAATTAAAAACAACCAAGTGGGTATGAAAAAGGCCTTAGAAAGGATGGCAGGGATCAAGTCACCCACTCAGGGTGCAAAACCATATTAAGTATTCTGCATCTAATTGATGTCACGGTTATTTTATTATTTTTGTAGGAGAAATATTTGAGGTGACTGAAACAATAAGATTTACAGATTTAATAGAGAAATTAAAACCCACTATTGTAGCATAATCCACTACATTCAATGGTTAAAAGGGTAGCAGCCATATTGAAGAGTTTTTCCTTCTGAGACCTACAACTTCAAGTCAATTTCCCAGACTTTCACAAAATTGAGTTTATTGTACATCAGAATTCGAGTGAAATAGCAGCAGGGTAAGAAGCAATCTTTATAAAATTTTCATGTATTTATCACCAAAACTCCTCAAGCATGTCTTAAACTCTAAATGACTGAGAAGTTCATGTTAGCAGCTTACCACAAGCAGGGTTGGGAGCCCCAACATGACCACAAAGGGTGTCGTCTGGGTCCATGGCACTTATGACACAAGACGTTTCTGTCATTCCATACCCTTCAAATACTATACCACCAAAGCAGCTGTGGAACAATTACATCCAACTCTTCAGAAACTAAAAGGAAACTGAAACAACAATAATACATAAAAGAAGAAGAAAAATAACAAAAGCCTATAAAATTGTGAACCAAAATATTAAAAACTCACATTTTCAAAAATTCCAGTATATCAGGAGATAATGGCGAGGCACCTGATGCCAAGACACGAACGCGTCCTCCAATCTTTGCCTTTATCTTATTGAATACCAATTTGTCCCATATGGGAGAAGGACTTTTTCCTTTAATAGTAGGATGCCCCAAAATACAGACAATAATCAAATTGCAAATATTTGAAAATACTAATACATAAAAGAGGAAAATGAAAGTAAGGAAGAACACGGTAAATGGATGCAGGTATGGATCAATAAGTCAAATTTCTGAAAATAGAGAAGGGCGAGGACTTTAGATAAGCTTAGCCACTAACTTTAAAAGAGAAGAGTGGAAATTTAGAAGTATGAAACATGATGCAGAAGCGAATCATTTTCCCGGTTAAAACCATACCATTCATTATAGCTTGCTTCTTGGAATTGTAAGCCGCATTAAACAGTCTCTCCTTTAGCACACCAGAGGTCTTTACAGCATTAATAATTCTGTTCACCACGAAACCAACTCAATAATAAGAGAAACATAGTATTTTCTGATTGATAAAAAATTGTTGATGCATGAATCTTTACCCAGCATATATCCTGTTATACAGCCTAGGGACACTGCAGAAGATTGTCGGTCTTAATGCAATCATATCATCCATTAACTTCATATTATCCTGAACACAAGTATACAAGACCATATCAGGTTGCCTAAAGTACTGAATGAAATTGCTCTCAACTTCCTAGTAAACTGAGTTGAACATTGAAGACAGTATTTATGTAGCTTCGTACCCCCTGGTAAAAACCAACAGCAACCCCGAAGTAAACTGATGAGACCTGGTTAGCCCGTTCATATATATGTGCCAAAGGCAGGTATGATATGTAGCTGATAATTAGAATGTAAATCAGTAGAAACCAAATATATCGATCAAATTAAATGATAATGTCGCAGTACTGTAATGTAAAATTGACAGCTGATTCTCACACGTCTGAGGGGTAAAATTTCAAGGCAAGAGAACATCCAGCAACACTCGCAATCAAATTTCCATGAGACAGTATAACACCCTGGCAAGATATTGACGTAAAAATAAGAAAACATAACCTTGCAAGGTTTGAAAGATCAAGTCGCTGTTAAGCAACGTCAACAGCTTCATGATCAGAAACAAAAGAATTCTTAGAAGTTACACCTTTGGAGTCCCAGTTGTACCACTCGTATAGCAAATAGTTGCTATATCATCAGGTTTTGGCGGGCAAAAAGGCTGGATGTTGTTGCTACCCTGGAAGGAAAGAATGCACATTACAAGGTTATTCTAAAAAAAACAGGGCAACAGTAAGTCATAAAGAGCTGGAAAATTGTAAAGTTGCTGCAGGTATAAGGATTTGTTGGCATGCAAGACTGGGATTTGTTGATTTCATTGTATATCCATTCTATTAATTTAGAATAATTAAATCAAAATGCTCATATTTTTATTTCTTTGCAACTTCCGATACAAATGTACAATATTGTCTCCAAAAACAAACAAAAACTGAACCATTACGTTAAAGGCCGTACCATACAATATCAGAAATCTAAGTGAATTTCTTCTGCAGAATAAAACGTAGATAGCTTAAAAAAGAAGCTGCATCCCCTTAGGAAGCATGCCAACAGCTAAGCATGTTACTTTTTCTTATGACATAGTGAGAAGATTTTTCAGTTCCTTTACTTCTCCTTTCCTTATATCATGGGAGACTAAGGGCTTACCTGACTAAGCAAACTTGCGTACGTTAGAATCTGAACTCCAGTTGATGATGGAAGCGATGGTATTTGATCATCTACCCCACCTACAACCTATAAAATTTGGAAGCTAAACTAATTAATAATTGTATCAAGCAGCTGGAGAGCAGAATCAAATTGAGATCAATTACAAACACACGGTGTTCATACCACGATCAGGCGTACAGTTGGAATTTCTGACAAGAAGCTCAATAACTGCAATTTGAAAGAAATAATAATGTTTTTTTTTCTGAAGACAACTCCTCAATTAAAAATCAAGGAAATGATTGAAACCAATTTCTAATACTACGAGAAACTGGTCCTTCCACCAACGCTATTTCTTTTGGATATTGAAGTCAATTTCTAACAACGCAGCAGACAGACTAAAATCTAATGTTTCACTCACACTATTCAATGTCTGAGGAACACAAAAAATAACTTGAACATGAGCATGATTTACAATGAACTGGACCGCATCAGGACCTGTAAAAAAAATGTTTAAACACAAGACCAAATGGGGAGATTTTCAGAAAGAAACAATATCTGGAAGAGAAATGACAAACCAAGAGTGTCATATAAAGGAACTGATATGTAAGAATATGCCGAGCAGGCGTGATCAACTACAAGCCACTCAGGTCTATTGATGAAATATAACCCAATGCAAGATCCCTGTGTCAAAGATACCAAGAATAGTTAGGCAACACTAAGGACATTACAGGGTCAATGCACATTCATCAGGCTTCACCACTATATACCAATCCCCATAAAAATAAGGGACAAGTTACACATTATTCTATTTCTAGGCATTCACCTTTGATATACCATGATTTACAAGGCCAGAACCTAATGCTGTCCGAGCAGTACCTGCTTCTCCATATGTCATCCATTTGTACCTTAAAGGGTGAAAGATTAAGTCAAAATTGATGGAAACTAGCACTACTGAAAATTTGAAATTTAACAGCCGCATAAAACTCACTCTCCAACTGTTCCATCACATCGGATTCGGGTACCTAGGTACTTATAGTCCCTATATACATCAACTGAGCGCCTAAAGTGATAAAGTCAAATCAAAGATCAAAAGCTGTTTATAGGTAATCGAAATTAGCAGTAAACATGTCAGACCCTTGTGATCAGAAAGAAGATAAGAGGAGGTGAAGACACTCACATAAAATTATCGTGCAATGTACCAATTTCAGGATGATCAGGAAATCTATCCACAAGCTTTAAAGGAGAGCGGGCAGATCTACCATGAGGAAACAAATCATCTTTAGGAAGCATAGCCATGAGGAAAGGGCAAATCAAGTTCAAACCACCCATTAATATCTTACCTATATACATTCCACTTTCCAGTCTGCAATTTCTCTGGAAGCACAACACTGTAGCCATCCCCTGCTCATAGTCGATAACTTTGACAATGTCAGCAAAGCTTGGGAGAAAAATGTCAAATAGCATAATGTATCACATTTCTCATTTCTCCATATTCAATGATAATAGACGCGAAGACGATCCACTAAAATTTTCTAGACTTACACACACCTAAGAACGGTGGCTCGCCACCATTATCACACCTTTAGTTTAGATTCGGATTCAAAATGCTGTCCACTTCTACCAGAAAACCCCAACATCTAGCCAAATTATTACAAACTAGAGCTGAATATTCCTGCAGTAGAGAACAGCCCCCAGAAACTCTAGTACTAAACTTAGAATACATTCACACAGTGCAGACTCCGTAAGGGAGAAAACGAAATGATTTAATTGCATATCAGTCCAAAATTAATCACTAGCACTCATTCAATTGCATACCAGTCCGTATCAAATGGGTTAATTTTGGAGTAGATCGTAAAGGGAGAAAACGAATTAGGAGTAATCGTGCACGATCAACGACGCCCCACAACCAGACCCAACCACACAGACAATGAAAATCCAAGAAAATCCAGAATCAAAATAATAAGAAACTATCTCAATAAGGGATGAAAATCCCCATAGACAAAGACAACAAGTGTTCAAACAGCCTGCATTTAATCGCCCTTCGTCAATACCAATGCGTTTGGGCAAAAACTAGAGTCCATATGGCCCACGTTTCATCTAATTGGCCGAGGAGTAATAAACGAAAATCAAGCCAATAGACATATCATCATCAGTCGCACAACGTTACAGATCCATAGCTTTACATAGAAACAAAATTACTAATCTACTCCGAACAAAATACGCCAGTGAGCTTTTCCCAAATCAACACAGAAAACGAACAAGTAAGCGAGAGCCAAATGGAGGAAGAAACACACATACCGTTGAAAAACTCGCCAGCAGTAGCGTTCAGCCGAAGCTGAAAAGAAGAGAAATCGCCGTCGGGAACAAGATGATCCTGAATCGCCTGAAGCCGACGTCGCGCAGCGGAAGAATCCATTAGCACTCCAAGATTTGAATCCACCACCAGTCAATCCAACCGATCACAGTAGGGGGAGAAAAAGGCAAAAAGGAAATCGAATCCTAGTGTTCAATTCCTCAATCAGAAGAAAATGTAAAATAATTTATGCATACTGGATAGAGAATTGTTGAGGCACGCATCTTTAGGTAGGTGACGAAACCATGACGGCAACAGCGATTTGGATATAGCTTTCCGATTCTTTTGTAAAAGATAATTTAATCGTTCGATTATCCACAAACAGAGTTGTGATCCGTGTGAAGAACAAAACAACAAAGCGGTCGCAATGCAGCTAGTAGAAGACGTGAAGGTTCAACGTATTCACATTCAATTGGTTGAAATTGTTCTTGGAGTTTGAATTTGCATTTGATTTTGATTTTGTTTGGTTGATTTTTCTGTCAACATCCAAGTTATCATCTTGGCTTCCAGTACACCGCCTGATCAAGATCCTGCGGCCATGGCCTTCCCAAAATGTCCAAGTTTTTCTCTTCCAATGATTTAATCCTATGATTCTTCTGTAACTTTCTGTAGATGCCCGCTCATACTTTTTATTCGTGTTCATTAGTCTTTCCATTTTAAAAGTGTTTAATTTATAAATTTTATTTTGTGCCTTATAAAATAAATTATTCAAGTCTTTAAACTATTTAATATTTTTTAAATTTACTATACACAAATTAATCGCTTAAAATATAAATTTAGTTTATACATAATATTACAAACACGAGGTATTTATTGATCTTAGAACCTTTTAAAATCAACAATAATTAGAGATGTCCACCATGCACGACCAGCTTGTACATAGCTTCTTCATCTCTCTATATATATTTTTATTAGAGATATAATATTTTTTAAAATATGTGTGGGATTAATTTTTATTTTATTGATTGGTTTATAATATTACTATAAACCAAACATCGTCCTATTTTTAATTAATTATAATAACTTTTCATTTATTCCACTAACTTTTAAAAATATCCCATTTTTAATATACAACCTTTTAAATTTATTCTAATTTAGATTCTTTACTAAAAAGAGCAACACAGATTAATATGGGATTTGAGTGGACTAGCCCAAAAATGTTGTTTAGGGATATGTCATAGCCACGGCTAATTTTTCCATCATCTACGTTCGTCGATATTTAAAATGAAGAAAGTAATATTATTCGAGGGTACAAAACCTTCTTTTACAATGACATGAAATGCATTTTAAAATTTATACACAATCGACTGACTCATACGACTAAGAATGTCAATTGACAATGTGACTGTCGTAACGGGTCAAAGCTAACCGATGATAAGATTGCCTCAGAAGTCAAAGGGGGAGTGGCGTTTTCTCGAAGTTAAAAGAGAGTTAAAACTAGCTTCTCTCCGATGGGACATAAACATGTACACTTGTCGAGCTCCGAGCACCATTATAAATTTTTATAATCAATGAACCTTCCATCCAACTTCCACCCATTTTTTCTCTCCCGATGAAGATGATCGAGAAACCCAGAGATCCAATAATCAAATCCACCGCCACCGTAATCTCGCCGTCACCCAAAAATTCCTTCTCTTCCTCCTCCTCCTCCGATTTCGAATTCACCGTCTCCATCTCCCCCCGGAAATCCTCCACCGCCCTCTGCCCCGCCGACGAACTCTTCTGCAATGGTCACCTTCTGCCTCTCCACTCCCGCCGGAACTCCCTCGTTCCAACCCTCCTCCCCTCCTCTAGCACTTCCTCCTCCGCCGACTCCACCACCACCACCTCCCGCGACTCCACCGGCAGCTCCTCCACCGATCACTCCCGCTCCTCCTCCCAAAACGACCCCAACCGCCCCACCTCCGACGACGCAGATCTTAAGCTCAGAACCCGACAGCGTAACGACAAAAAGTGCAAGCAGTTTTCGTTTGCGAGATTCTCGTCGGTTTTCAGGAAGGAGCCGAAGAACAACACTGGTAGTAGTACTCATGGTGGGGAATCCAGGCCGCCACGTGTCAAAGGGATTGGATCCACCGCTAAGGAAGTGATCAAGAAGTGCTTCAGAAAAGTCCAACTCAAAATTGGGTCCAAATCATGCCACTCGGCAACGGCGGCGGCCCATACGGCGGAATCGGCGAAAGATAGCTCGTTAAATCCCGGCAAGAAGGAGGAGAGCGGCAGATTTTCACTCTCATTTTCTGGGAACTTGAGGTAATATTGTAATTATAAATCAAAGCCAACCAGAAATTTTGATCAAAACATAATAACTTTTTAAAATTTAAGAAGAACAAATTTGCTTTTGAACTAGGTATCCACGTGGGAGAAGCAGCTTCCTACCGAGTTGTCCGTCGTCGACTCGGTCATCGCCGAGTCACTCCGGCGTGCTCCGACGAGGAGGCGTACAGAGCTTGAGCTCTGTCAGTGGCTACGGATCGTCATACTCCGCCGACATGTCGTCTATGGAAGAACTCCACAGTGCAATCCAAGGCGCCATTGCCCATTGCAAGAACTCACTAATCCAGACCAAAGACACCATCAACCCCGACGAACCCTCCTCGAGCTGAATCCTCCCGATAAAAACACCACCAATTTCTCACCGTATTTTTAACCCAAAGTCCATTAGAATTACTAAAGTAAGTATTTTCAAGTTGATCAGAGTGTTTTTCAGGCGATCGGAAGAAATCTCGGATCGGCCTTATTGGGTAATTTATCCATTTGAGTATAGTTTAATTTATTTCATAAATATGAAAATATATATTGAATGCATTAATGATATGCCAAAATTGTGTAATATTAATGTTGTATCATGATCTTCAAGCTTGCACTTTTTGGATGTATTTTGTTTTATATCTGTCAGAAACTCCAAATTTGTCGATTAAATTATATATCAATCATTTTTCAATCTAGGTTGGAGACATTGTGTCACGTCCTAATAAAATTTGATCTATAAAATTAATAGATTTATTTTCAAGACGAGTTCTAATATTTGTTCATGGCGGTATAATTTTATTTTTTTTAATTGATTTTTTTATTATGAAAGTAATTATAAAAATAGTTTTAAAAGTGGATTACTACTCACCTCTCAAGCAAACGCCACATGCAAAACGGGAGCGAATTGGGTCGAATAAATTTATATATTTTTTAATTATATATATATATATATAGCGGAGTGTTGAAGTTTGGAGGGGAGTGGCGATAACATGGGAATGGGACCAGAGGTGGTGGGTATTGAGCGAGATCTGGACCGTAAAATATGCTGACTTTGAGTTGACTTTGGGATGTCGGTGCGGAATCGAAGTAGAGTGAGCAGGATAAATCATGAACAGGCGAAGGAGGAAATTGCAGCGAACCTAGCGGGTTTTCAATCAGCTCATTCAAATTATTTTAAAATGGTGAAGCAACAGCTATGGTTGTTGGCCCATTCATTAATTATCCATCTTTAAATTATGTATTCAAACCCTAATTTCCATACGTCACCCAATAAAACTAAAACTAAAAATAATATTCTTCTTATCGGGTTGAGTGCAATCACGTTGAGTAAAAATATAAATGACTTGTTTCATCGAGAGAGTTACACGAGCTACCTTAATTCGATTCAATATTAATTATGTTAATTTATGTATTAATTTAAATATTAGTGCATTAGTATATAGTGTTGTCTCAATTTTATTTTGATCAAAATTATTTAAATAATAATAGTTTAGTAAAGGTATTTTTTTGGTTTAGTATATGGTTTTTTTCGTTCACAAGTTAGGGTATTTGTTTAATAGGAGGGAAGCGGGGCGGTGGTTGGTGATGTGGAGCAGCTGTGGGACTGAGGCGGCATTACCAGTCGGTAAGATTGGACCTCCTCCAGAGCTCTCTCTCTCACGCCCGACATGTCGATTAAAACGACGTTCCATTAAAGACTAAGCGACAGCTCACATGCCATTACGCTGCTACTGTTTTTCCGGCGTTGACTGCGAGTCGCTGTCACAAAATGTGGGCCGATTCTTCATGGGCCTCCAAGGCCCAGCACAGTCCATAATTTATCTATTTTTATATTTATTTAGTTTTCGACTATTATAATATTTTGTACAATAAAATCATTATTTAAATACAAGGCCCATTAGCATGTCGCAACAAGATGGGCCTCTACTGTTGACTAAAGTGGATTCATTTGGGCCCACTAAAATTTCGTGGGCCAGCCTAGACAGAGCGCACATTAGTTACTTTCTTTTAGCGGTTTACCTTTATAGTAACTTTTGGGCGGGAGCGCACGTTAGCATTTCGGCCCAGAGCGGGGGAAGTTTTCGGTCGGTTTTGATTAAATGCGAGACAGAACGGAAAACTGTGAAGAAATTATGGGAGGCAAAGATAAAAGAAGAGGGAAATCTGAAAATATTTACAGTGTGAATTTACTAAATTACCCTCTAACCCCCATCTCTCTCTCTCTCCTCCTTTCGCTCGCCTTTTGATCAAGTCCCCAGATTTGGTTATTGGGATCACTCTCTTCCACGTCTCGTTATTCCAAGCTCCTCTGGTTGTTTGTTTATGGAGCTTCCGAAGCGCGTAGATCAGAATCTTCCAGAGAGGAAAGGCCACAAGCGGAAACTGGAGGAGGAATTTGAGGAAGAACGGGGGATCTCTGTTCCTACTGGGGATGCCAAGCGAGCGTTACTCAGCGAGGTCAGTGCTCAAGTTCAAATTCTCAATTCCACTTTTTCATGGAAGGAACCCGATCGAGCTGCTGCTAAGCGAGCTACTCATGTTCTTGCCGAGCTTGCTAAGAACGGTACACTCATATACATATTTATTTTAATTTACCGGAACGCCCTTCCGATCTTGTCGCGTTCTTATGCCTATTCTTCTCTTTCGGTAGTTGGAGTTTCTAGTGGTTGATCATGTTCTGGATGGTTCTTTGGATTTTCTTCTTCTTTTATTTTTTTTGTGTCTTTTTGTTAATTGATTGGAATTCTTGTGTTTTGTTGGGGTTGTTGCCAGAAGAGGTAGTGAACGTGATTGTGGAAGGTGGAGCAGTGCCGGCTTTAGTTAAGCATTTACAAGCACCGCCTATTGTTGAAGGTGATCGCAGTCTTAAGCCATTTGAACACGAGGTTGAGAAAGGAAGTGCTTTTGCGCTTGGACTACTGGCTGTAAAGGTCAAATTCATTCTGCTCTATTTGGATACATATTTTCCTATTATCATCTCGACAGTGTGTATGACTTCTTTGTACACGTTCTTTCAGTCAAAGAAAAGATACTGGCCTAGATTTTCTGTCCTTAACTTAGTAGCGTTGAACAACATTTTGGACCTGAAATTTTTGCATAAACAATCCTATTCTCGTTCATTTAGTCTAAGGTGTTGCCAGAATAAATGCAATCTTTCAATGGGATTGCTTGTCTACAGTTGTTGCTGATGCGTAATCCCTTCTCAGGCTTTTGTTTGACATTTTCATCGAAATTTAAGAAATACGTATTTTAGCATGCATGTATAAGTTATCACCTCATCTCAGTCCCAATGCTCTATGCATTTCTTCTAATGATTTCTGATCCGTTTCTTCTTTTTATCCTCTCTAAACAGCCAGAGCACCAGCAACTGGTTGTTGACATTGGTGCTTTGTCACACCTCGTTGAGCTATTGAAGAGACACAAGGAAGGTTCTTCTCGTGCTGTAAATAGTGTTATTCGTAGAGCTGCAGATGCTATTACAAATCTTGCCCATGAGAATAGTTGCATTAAAACACGGGTTAGGTATGCTCAGTTAGTTGTCTAACTTCCAAGTTTTACAATTGTCATTGAAACCCATTCTTGATGAGGATTTAAACATTCAGGATGGAAGGTGGAATTCCTCCTCTTGTTGAATTGCTTGAATTTACGGACACAAAGGTACAAAGAGCTGCTGCTGGGGCATTACGAACACTGGCCTTTAAGAATGATGAGAACAAAAATCAGGTAATTTGTCTGTGAATTTGATGTTCAACCGTAGGTTTAATATGCGTCTCATATATTATCTTTACTACCTGGCAGATCGTTGAGTGCAATGCTCTCCCTACGCTCATTTTGATGCTTCGGTCAGAGGATGCTGCTATTCATTACGAAGCGGTAGGGTGTTTTCCATGTCACAAACATGGATATTTTATGCCTATTAGTAAATTGATATAATTCAGTTTGCATTCTGTAAAATATGGATTTTGTGGATTTTAGGTTGGTGTTATTGGAAATCTGGTGCACTCATCCCCAAATATAAAGAGAGAAGTTCTCCATGCTGGAGCTTTGCAACCTGTTATTGGATTACTCAGGTATTGTAAACTTCAGGATTCTTGTCACATCTTTTATTTTTTACTGCTTCGTTACGTGTAACTTCAGGAATCTTGTCACATATTTTGTATATGATTCAGTAAATGTCTAGTGCCTATCTTCTCATTATATCTATATTCCGTTGTAGCTCTGTCAATTAAACTAGTTATGCCGTGAAGAAAAAGTTGATCTCCATTAGTCTGAATCATGTTAATCATTTCTCTATTGATTTAGTTCTTGCTGCTCTGAGAGCCAAAGGGAGGCAGCTTTATTACTTGGACAATTTGCGGCAACTGATTCAGATTGTAAGGTAAATAAAAATTGACGATTTATTATTTCAGGGCAACAAGTTTGAATAAGAGTGATATATTTATGGTATATTATTTCCTTAAATAATTTCTTTTTATTACAAAAGATATCCTCACCAGTCAATTTCTGTTATGTATACTTGTTTTTATAACTTTCTTACTGACACATTGAACATTTTCAGATTCACATTGTACAGAGGGGTGCTGTTCGACCCTTAATTGAGATGCTTCAATCACCTGATGTACAGCTACGAGAAATGTCAGCTTTTGCATTGGGTAGATTGGCACAGGTACTACATTCCATTTCTTCCGTTCAAAATCATACCTGGTGGACTATTTCCAAGTTTATAACTTAAAATTTTTATTCTTTTTGGTATAGACAACCTATCTTTTACCCGACATTAAATTTCATAAATCTTCATACTGCTTTTTTAAAGCATTATTCTTCGCCACTTGGTTGATTCACTTTTCCCCCCGGTTCTTAGGAATGAATGACAAGGTCTTGTGAATTTCTTAGCTGAAACTGAGAAGAATTTTTTATTTTCAGGAAACTCATAATCAAGCGGGTATTGCTCATAATGGTGGTCTAATGCCATTACTGAAGCTTCTCGATTCGAAAAATGGTTCNCCCCCCCCCCCCCCCCCCCCCAACCTCTTCTGATCTTGCTCGTATTATTGGAGGTTATCCGCAGTTTCCATCCAATAGTGGGGGTTACTGACTTTCTTGCTTTGTCAAGTGTGAGACTTGAATATATTGGCAATTTTGTTTCAGGCAACAAAAGATTGTGTAGCAAAGACAGTCAAGAGATTGGAGGAGAAAATACATGGAAGGGTGAGCTGTGACTTTCCTGATTTTGTTTTGGGATTTTGGCATGTCTGATGTTTAAGTCTGCTCAAAGACAGTCAATATGGATGCTTTCCAAATGTTAATCACATTCTTTTCCTTGCTTAGGTCTTGAATCACTTGTTACATCTAATGCGTGTAGCTGAGAAGGCTGTGCAAAGACGAGTGTCTCTTGCTCTTGCTCATCTTTGTTCACCCGATGATCAGAGGACCATATTTATCGATAATAATGGCATGTCATATTCTTAGAATCTCATTAAGTCTTTCCCCTTTGAGGGTCCAGTTGGGGATAAATTTGTTTTCTTAATGGAAATTTTATTGTAGAACAACTGCATTTGCATTTTGCAGGTCTGGAGTTGCTTCTTGGCCTGCTTGGTTCTTCAAGTCTCAAGCAGCAGCTTGATGGTGCTGTTGCTCTGTACAAGCTGGCAAATAAAGCCATGACTCTTTCTCCTGTAGATGCC